TACAAAAAAAGAACTTCAGTGTTCTTGTACATTAGTTGTTTTTCTAAACTGAACACTTTTAATAATGCTTAATAATCCCCTAAATAAACCTGAAAGTTAAACATCTTTCTTTACTGTATGGCTTCTTGGAATCTAATGTCATTGCAAATATTTAAGAAGGAAAGATATCAACATTCCTAATCATATTTGTCCAACAGAGCACTTTGACTGAAGTTACCTTTGTTAACATTGACCAGACAATATTCCACCCCCAGTCTACACTTAAAAAATGGCAATAGATGAATTTTACTACACAAGATTATCAAAAGATTAACTGTTTACAATGGGGCGTAATTTTTAATTATACTGAAATACACTGTTTTGACATTATTTTTTTTAAAGATTTATTTATTTATTTATTTGAGAGAGAGAATGAGAGAGAGCACATGAGAAGGGGGAGGGTCAGAGGGAGAAGCAGACCCCCTGCTGAGCAAGGAGCCCGATACGGGACTCGATCCCGGGACTCCAGGATCATGACCTGAGCCGAAGGCAGTGGCTTAACCAACTGAGCCACCCAGGAGCCCCTGTTTTGACATTATTTTAGAAATAATAAAAATTCTACTGAAAGCATTTTTATTATGCCTATAAATGATACACAATACTCAAATATGAAAAATTTCCTTTAAATAAAGTATACTGTGCAGATCAAAGATACAGCCTAAACATAAATCAATAATAATAAGACATGAAGAAGCAAGCTATAATCCAAAAATGGAATAAGCAGTCAGAGCTGACAACCTCCACGAAATGACCATTCATTTTGTTATGCATGCCCTGCATTATTCAAAACATTTCCAGTGTTGTTTTAAATAATTTTATTTCTCAGTGACTATACAGACTGCATTTTCTATTTGTAATTCTGTGAATTTCTTGAACTTTCTTTTGGACAGCAAGAGTAATACCATTTTATATTTAATTCTGCGCCTCTGAATGTAGCCCACCATCACATTCTAACATGTCAGTAAGAGAAAGAAAAAAAATTGCTCAGACCACTAAAAGGTATAATTCAATGGTATGATTTTTTTTTTCCATTCCATTTATAAGCCAGGTGGAATTTTAATGGGAGTAGTTGAGAAATACGCAAATTCATTTGACATCTTCATGTCCACTGACTCTCATTTAGAGAACAACAATAGCAAAAATACATATCTTGCAAACTTCTTCCAATAGAATGTTTCCTCAGTTAACATTTAGGAGAAAATATGTATGTATATAAATTTTTAGCTTAAAATTTTTAGCTTAAAAATAACTTCTTGACTTTTCCTTTTAAAATAACATGTTTCTTCTATTATATAGCTTTTTCTGGGCCTTTCTTTTTTTGTGAGAATTTTTTAAGTCTAATATCTTTGAATCCATTAGTTAAAACTAATTCATAATTTAAACTGAAATTCCCGAAAGTAAATACTTTCTAAACTTTGCAGTACTTTGCTGTGAGGGAAGAGGAGGAAGATATGGCAGGAGTGAGGGAGAGAGAAACTCCAAGAATATTAACCACAGGTAGCTAACTTGTACATACACAACTATTGTATCACACAATAATATATTCAATATTAATAAAAAATATACAGCCTTTCAAATTACAATGAGGTGCATGCGTAGATAATGCAAAGAATGCTGCTACAGGATCTACCTGAAAGACAAGGTCAGTACAAAGTCTTATAATTAGTGCTGTTATTTGTAGCTTTGCTTGATTGGGAAGTTGATGATGTGATAGCAATTTCTCATCTCACATCAAAGATTTACACATCATCTGCATAGTTTGCTTTTAAAAAGTCACATTGCATTTTAATACTGAAACCATTTTAAATACTGAAACCAAGGACACGGTGGTCTCAATTGGTCACAAGGGTACCATAAACTGTTGTAAACACCAAGGTTCACATCCAAATACTTTGCTTTTTAGGCTGTGTCAGAAACACTTTTTTTGAAACCTGATTAAACATTGCACTGGAGGGGCGCCTGGGTGGCTCAGTTGGTTAAGCGACTGCCTTCGGCTCAGGTCATGATCCTGGAGTCCCGGGATCGAGTCCCGCATCGGGCTCCCTGCTGAGCAGGGAGTCTGCTTCTCCCTCTGACCCTCCTTTCTCTCATGCTCTCTGTCTCTCATTCTCTCTCTCTCAAATAAATAAAATCTTAAAAACAAAACAAAACAAAATTAAAAAAAAAAACAAAAAAAAAACCATTGCACTGGAAAGGTAACAGGTACAAGTCAATTAATAGAAATATCCTAAAAGTTATTAATAGAGGATTTTAGTAGCATTCAGTCTAGAAATTAAAATTTCCTTAAAAAACTAAGGACTTTTATGATTAAGAAAATTGATAACTTAAATCTCACCAGGTAATAAAGTCAGACAGTATTGAATGGAATAGAGAATTGAGTGCTCAGTGTCATAGTTAGTAATTGAATCTCTGTTTCAACAGGTGGTCAGAAGAACTCATTTGATACTTGAAGATTTGCTCCAGAGGGAGAAGAACTGCCTGCCAAAGTAGCTTATTTCCCTGGGGGGCTGCTACATTTGTTAATTTTTTTTCCTTTTGTTGAATCTAAATTTGCCTTAATTTTACACCATGTAATAATTTCAAATCTGACTTCAGGAACAACTGAGGGGAAATCTGATCCACCTTTCATATGCAACTGTTAGTATGTCTGAAGACATGCTACGTTGTGTCATTAAGTCTTCTGTTTTCCAGGCTCAGTAGCTCCTATCTTTGAACCTATTTCTCTTGCAACATCATCCCAGTCATCCCAGCGCACCAGCTATGCTCCTGTGTCTCCTGTTTGCAAGGCACCTTGAAAATGGAAGTTTCTAGAATTTGATGCAAAACTCCGAGTGTGGCTTGATCCAGGCAAAGTTTTATTTGGTGGCCTCTGGACACTGCTATGGACATTAGCACTGTCTATCCTGGAAAGTATATTAGATGGAGGAACACTGAGGTTTTCATCAACTTAAATATGTACTGTTAAGCCATATCTTTACCTTCGAATACTTATGAAATTGAATTGTTGACTTGGAATGCAAAATATTATATCTACTACATTTCAATTGCATAGATTTAGTCAATTGTACCAGACTGTTGAATATTTTTTGCTCTATCGCTGACTAGTAATAAAAGGGTCATCTAACTTTGGCCTGTGAGCCAAATCCAGCTCAGTGCCTTTTCTATAAATAATGTTTCATTGTGAAAGACCCATGTTCTTCTTCTTTTTTAAAAATGCGTGGTCTATGGCTGTTTTTAATGCTGTAAGTGACAGCAGAGTTGAATATTTTGACAAAGACTATATGGTTCACGGAATGTAAAATATTCACTATCCTGTCATTTATAGGAAAACTTTCCCATCCCTGAGCTAGTACATCAGTTGTCCGTTCTATTTTCCTGCAGGTTCAGTGAGAATGCATCTATGTCCTCATGAAGACCGTGGATTATAAAGTTGGACTGAGTAGGAATATTAGAAGCAAAAATCCAACTGGACACAGATACATAATCATTATTTTTGTATTAGCTAATTTCACCTGATGTGTTACCAAGTAATTAAACTGTCACTCAGCCCATGTTTCTTGCTCTCACGAAGGAATGCCTTGCTGAAATTTAGATATTCTCTCTCTGCTACACTCCTGAGCACACCATTTCAGTAACACCTAAAACTGGAAATGGATTAACTGAAATGACTTCTTAGGAGCCCATGTTTGCTATTAGAACTCATCATTTTTCTAAGTGCCAGCACTAACCCATTTTTTCCCCTCAAATGTATTTCTCAGAAAACTGGTCCTTGTAGACCTTGAATAAAGGCTTCCAAAGCCAAATAATTTGATGAAATAATGTATTTTATACACTTTCTCTGGAGTCTCCATGCACATTAGCATGTTAGGGGTATGGGGACTTCTTCAAGAAATGTATCTGGTTAAGGGGAGTGAATACTTTGCTGCCCCACATTATTTAGCTACAGCATGCTCTTTTCTTCTTACATATTTATCCAGAAACTTTGGTGGAAGAAGCTTTAGAAAAATTTATAAATTCCCCTGAGGAAGAATGTAAACTCAGTGAGCTTCAGATGTTGAAAAGCTATTTCCTGAGGACATTAGAAGTGGGAGGAAAATAAGCAGGAATAGTTTGGAGTAAGAAAATATCTCAGAACTTTAAAAATAATAATATAATTCTATTTTAAGGATGAATGTTGATTTTGCTGCTTTACCTGAATTTACTAGGCTGAAGTGATATTAGTTGAGCTGATGTAAGAGTAAAGAATACCCTCAATTTTATAAGAGCATCTAATTATTAATTATCATAGAAAGAACAATAGGTATAAACAAAAAGAGTAAATCATATCAGAAATGTGAAAACCTTTCATGAAGGCTGGATTTATTTCTTCCTTACTAGTAAACCCACAGCTCATTACCTTGCAAGTAGTAGGTACTTACTTAATTGTTGTTGAATAAGTTTGCCAATAAGTAAAATCACAAATTGTGTAATATTATGGTTCTTCCAAATGCCATGTAATAGAGATAGTTCTGTTAAGGCAGAAAAATTTCACTATTTTTAATTGTTTTTTCTAGCACAGTATATACATGAAAACCAGGTATCCCCAAATAAAAAAATGAAAGAAATATGAGTTTAGCCATTCTACAAAAGAAAAGTAAACAGAACAAAACAAAACAAAACTTTACCTTTGATTCAGTCAGAACAGTCATGCTCAGTATTTTTGTATTCAAAGTCATGGAGGCAGAGCTTAAGAATCAATAACAATCAAGCTGTCTGATTTCTTAGTTTGAAATTTAACATACACATAAATGCAGACCATAAAATTCAGTAACACAAATGCGCAAATGTTGCAGATAAGGACCTGCAGACTCCTCCCTAAAAATACTTTGGGAAATATAATTTTAGTACTTCTTTTTTAAACATTTGAGTGCACTATTTTTAAATGCATATTTAAACATAATGTTTTAAAATATATATTTTTTTTTTTTTGGTTTTGAAACTTTAATGAGAAAAAGAAATATATCGAGCTCAAGAACACTGTGTTTCGTGTGTCACTGGGTCCAGGTTTGGGGATACACGACAGACCTAGCAAACAGGATATACATCAACAAAAACATTCCTGGTTACAGACTGAAAAACTAGCGCCTGGCACGATTAAGTCTCGGTTTCCTCATCACTCAGCAGCATGTTGGGGATCCCGCGACTGATGGGGAACAGACGTCCAGACTCTGGGCACTGCAAGGTGCCCTCCAGCACATCCACCTCCAGCAGCACGTGGTGCATCTGCCTCAGGAATTTCTCATCGTGCTCATACCCTTCAATCGGTCCTTTGGGCACCTCGACCAGATGCAGGGTATCCGCCGCCTCCAGAAGCGCCGCCCACTCCACCTTGGGTATCATACGCGCCACGAAGTCGGGGTTGAACTCCACGGGGTTGATGCGGACCTCGGTGGCCTGGAGGCGCAGTGGGAAGCCACGGGGCCCCACCCCCCCAGCACATGCGAGCTCAGCAGGTTGTGCGTTAGCAGCTTCACGTCGCCTCAGTGCTTAAAATATTTTTTAATCACTGTGATATCATTTAGGAAACCACGATCCTAGAAAAACCCACTGGGTCTTTCTCTGAAAGAAAATTCCGATATTTTAGTTCTTTATGACACTAACTTTTCAAACCATCTCTATACATTTTGATTGTCATAGTCAAATTTTATGGTAATGTATCTACTTATTTACTTGAATCTGAATTATTTAGTGGGGGAAATATATATCGTTAGGGGGTCTTGTTTGTTTTTATTTTAGAAACTGGCTGTCCTAGAGACTGCTAAAAGAAGGTCACCCTCTGATTCGCTGTGACATCTGACACTCCACTGATCATTAGGATTAATTTGACTAACTTGCTTGGTTAAATCAAAATACATGTGGCTTATATCACATAATCCTGCTATGACCACTTATTTAAAAAAAATGTTGGCTTCCAGGTATCCCCATTTTAGGGGAAGAATTATTAGGTAACTCTTATTTTACTTTTTATAATTATATATCATAGTATCTCCCCCCCCCCACACACACAGTATTGGGTTTTGTCATTTTCTACCAAAAGGTTTTTTTTCCCTCCTTCTTAAATTTTATGCCAATTATATCTCAATAAAAAATTACTTTAAACTCATTTTGTCAGATTGACAAGTTTCCAATCAATTGGTTAAAACACACTATATTGTTAAGCGTATGTTGGCTTCTCCACTAGATTCTAATCTCCTTCAGCTCAGACCCCATGCTTTATTTATCTCAGTATTTCCCATAGCATCTGGCAAATAGTAGTTTTTCAAAAATATGTTTTAATGATTCAGGAATGACGCATACACATAAAACCTCTTGTGGTAGAATGTAGAATGCAGTAGACACTCAATAAATATTTCACCGGAAAAAGAGTACTGTCAGGGTTTTTCGACGAGTCACTGATTGCTTTGTCTGAAGCCCTGAGTGCTTGTTAGTCATGGCCCAAGAATGTCAAGATTTGTCTTCAAATATATCAGCACTATTGTCCATGTACCTCCCCTGAGCTGAGCTTAGAAGCATGGGCCCTGGAACCCCGCTGTGGTTCACATCTTACTGCCTCCTCCTATTTGCTGTGGGAGCTTTGGCAAGTCATTGAACCTATCTGACCTAAATATCCTGATCTATAAAATAACCTTCATAGGATTTTGTGTGAATTAAATGATCAAAAAGCCTAATGCATGTGATAATAACTCAAATCTTTAAGAAGCTACTATTTTTTAAAGATTTTATATATTTATTTATTTATTTGAGAGAGAGAGAGAGAGCACGACTGCACGAGCAGGGGGAGGGGCAGAGGAAGAAGCAGACTCCCCGCTGAGCAGAGAGTCCAATGTGAGGTTCAATCCCAGGACCCTGAGATCACGGCCTGAGCCTAAGGCAGACACTTAACCGACTAAGCCACACAGGTGCTCTAAGGAGTTACTTTTATACTTTATCATCCAAACTTCTAATTTTTAATCAGATTCACATTCTATAAAGATTGAACATTTAAACACCATTACTGATCATATTTTTGGTAAGTAGCATGATTCCTTAGTGCCAGTGAAAACAGCTTTTCACGTTACGGATTCTGCCTGTGAAAGTCCCAAACCTGCCATTGAGAAGCTTCCCCAGGAAGAGTTTCTTTTTCTTTTCTTTATCTTTATTATTTTATTCATCAGATTTTTGATATTGTTCCATTTCGTCTGCTCCTCGGATCTTATAACAGGCATCCATACTCTCACTTCCCAGAATACACACATCAATATTTTGCTGTTTCGCAGACACTGTCAGACTAGTTTACTGCTCCATTCTTAACCTCACCTTTCCACAGTCTGTCTGAAGCCAGTGCATATTCTTCCGTTTTGATTTCTGTGTGTATTCCATAAGAAATAATTAGCATTGTTTTGACTGCGATGTTTTTTAAGTTAGATGAATGAAATCAAAACTGTATACATCTTCCTTGTGCTTGCTGTTTCCCTCTCTCATGTATGTCCCAGAGATTTCCCCATGGGTCCATTGCTAGTACCCCTCATGTTTATATCTATATGGACAGTGAAGCCGTGACCCTTGATTTTGATGCCCATATCACTATCATAACCAATATTATACCATTGAACTGCTTTGTAATATTTCATATTATTAATAAATCTCACTTTATATAAAACCTTTTATTTATTTATGGACTATTAGATTGTTTACAGTTTTATACTTTTACTAAGAATATTGTAATACATTGGGGCGCCTGGGTGGCTCAGTCGTTAAGCGTCTGCCTTCGGCTCAGGTCATGATCCCAGGGTCCTGGGATCGAGCCCCGCATCGGGCTCCCTGCTCGGCAGGAAGCCTGCTTCTCCCTCTCCTGCTTCTCCCTCTCCCACTCCCCCTGCTTGTGTTCCCTCTCTCGCTCTGTCTCTCTCTGTCAAATAAATAAATAAAATCTTTAAAAAAAAAAAAAGAATATTGTAATACATTAATTGAACCTGGTACACATATATGAGGGTTTCTCTAGGCCCACACTACACATCTGAGTAGAATCTCTGGGCCATATCTTATACCTTTTAAAAAATTTTCAAGATGGGGGGCGCCTGGGTGGCTCAGTCGTTAAACGTGTCTGCCTTCGGCTCAGGTCATGATCCCAAGGTCCTGGGATCGAGTCCCATGCTGGGCTCCCCACTCGGTGGGAAGCCTGCTTCTCCCTCTTCCTCTCCCCCTGCTTCTGTTCCTGCTCTCGCTGTCTCTCTCTCTGTCAAATAAATAAATAAAGTCTTAAAAAAAAACTTAAAAAAAATTTTTTTCAAGATGGCTTTCCTATTCCTTATTGGTTACATCCCTTTTGGTTTGCATTACTTTCCTATATTTCCACATGCCTGAGACCAAAATCGGCTCTTAATCATTTTTGTATCCTCTGTAGTACAGTGTCTGGCACAGAAAAATTTCATTCAGTTTTCTTTTTAACTCACTGGGGTTGGTGAATAGAATTCAGGGGGGCAAATGTGTTGCATAGAAAAAAATGATATCTGTACTTTTCTTAACCTCTAAATAAAGTTGATTGTTTATTTCAATCATAAATATATGCTGAAAAAAGTGATATTAGCAGGACCTGTGATTTTTTCATCAACAGAAGGCAAAAATATTTTCATATCACATTATAGCTATTGCAGATGTGTCTAAATATCTTATATTTACCACTACTTTAAAATTACAGTAGTTATCAGATCCATCCCAGTATCTTCTTATTTAATGTCTTACTAAAGAAGCATCCATATTAGAACATCAGCATTTAAAAATATTTTTCTGTGACTATATTTCAATATACTTGAATTCTTTTATAATCCTCTGCGTTTTTAGGCATTATCTTGATAAGGAGATTACAGGATACACAGGAGGTTCATGGCACAACAAAGGTTAAGAACTCCATTAAATGTTAGTTCTTAAGCCTTCCCTTTGCTCTTTTCACTCCCTGACAGGCCTTACTGGAACCTCTTAATGTACCGAGAAATGTCAAGTCCTGAGAGACAATTTGTTAATTGAAAACGAAGCAATGCCACTTAGCTGTTAGCCTGATGTTCAACTATCTGTTTTTGATGAAGCCTGGATCTCCTTGGGGATCACACTTGTTCATGTGTGAACAGCACTCTGCCACAGAATTCAAAGAATCACACTGTGGCTCTCACCTAGAAGTAGAAATAGAAGGAAAACTCAAAAGGATTTAGAAAGATGTATTGTTCAGTTTCCTTGGTAACAGCCCACTTCAGAAACTGGGCTCTCATCTTCATCTCTATTTGCCCACTTAAGGTCTTTAATCTCTCTTTATTTCTGATTACTTCGGGTAGATATTATGTTCCTGAGTTCTCCTATGGTTTAGGCATTTAAATTAAACTGCATCTGTGCTTCTACCACAGTGATTCCATTTTATTCTTTTTCCTTTTTTTAAGATTTTATTTATTTGACAGAGAGAGAGAGAATAAGAGAGAGAGGGAGAGAGGCAGGCAGAGGGAGAGTGAGAAGCAGGCTCCTCACTAAGCAGAGAGCCCGACATGGGGCTGGATCCCAGGACTCTGAGATCATGACCTGAGCCGAAGGCAGACGCTTAACCAACTGAGCCACCCAGGTGCCCTTCCATTTTATTTTTTTATATTTATTTTTTATTGAATAAATTTTTCATGTGACATTGTATAATCTTAAGGTGTATAGCATGTTACTTTGGTACATTTATATACTGTTATACATCTGCCATTATGGTGACATTTTCTCACATTATACATACTTACAGCACAATATTGTTGTCTATATTCATTCTGTTGTTCATTAGATCTCTACTACTCATTACAAGTGGCAATTCCATTTTAAAGAATATCTTTCTCTCCCATTCACCACAGGAGATATTTGGCCTTCTCACCCCAGGCCACAGCAATTTCCATTATTGATGCTTAAGACAACCAAGATTGGGAAAAATGAAACAAGACGAAACCAGAGAGGGAGACAAACCATAAGAGACTCTTAATGTCAGGAAACAAACTGAGGGTTGCTGGAGTGGTGGGGGGTGGGAGGGATGGGGTGGCTGGATGATGGACACTGGGGAGGGTATGTGCTATGGTGAGCGCTGGGAATTGTGTAAGACTGATGAATCACAGACCTGTACCCCTGAAACAAATAATACATTATATGTTAAAAAAAAAGACAACCAAGATTGTGTTAGCTAACTTTGCTAGGAAATAGCATGGAGGAAACTAGCTCATCCTTTCAGCAACTCCTAAGTAGAAGTTTTCATACTTTCCCGTTGAAAGCTCTGGCAAAGATTAAACTCTGATAATTTTGGAGACCTTACTCTGCAATGGAGAACTTGTGCTTCGTGAGTTTAGAAACTTGCCGAAAGCCAATCCCATGATGCCCCTCATTTGGGGGTACTCATTTTCATTGCTGTACCGCTTTCTTCAATGTCTATTTCACTGTTCATTCCACTGATGACATCTGTCCGTTTGTATTAGGTCTGGGATCTCCAGAGAAA